AACTAAAAATTAAAGGTACACAGAAAATTGATTGGTGAAGTGAATGAATGAATGGTAACCTTACTGAATATCCTACGAGATGGTGGACAGACCGAGTATATAGGGAATCATACCGTGAACGTCACCTCATATCGGACAGGGTATCGATGATTGGTATTTTTAGCAGTCATACCGGACGGGATATGGGGGTAGTCTGTTTCACCCTCATACCAAACGGAGTATCGAAGATTGGTATTTTTAGCGCTCATACTAGATGTGGTATGAGGAATGCCCATTTCACCCTCATACTGGACGGAGTATCAAGAATTTTGTATTTTTGGCGCTCATACTAGACGGGATATAAGGATGGCCCGTTTCACTTTCATACTGGATGGGATATTGAGATATGGGTATTGCACTCATACTGGAGTGGTATGGGAACGGCTGGTTAATTGACAATGTTGAATAATGGTTCACGCGTAGTGGGGCATCCCTATGGACCTCCATGAATACCAGTAGGCAGATAAAAAGATAAGATTGTTATTATTACGTACTTGAATATGAGATTATGATATTGTTGAACTATTGTCTCTATAGGTCGATTTTGAAAATATCGCAATAATAAGTATGCAATAAATGATTTTACTTGTGATAGATGAATTTACTTAAATTAAGAGCTTCATTTGTTATTTTTAAGATTTTTACCAACCTTCAGTTTCTGTATCGGTGAGTAGTGTGATATTTTTACTAGCCTAGTGTAGCTCACCCCTTCATTAACTATTTTAGATCAAGAGGAACAATATCTAAATTTCAATCAACAAGGGGGTTATAAATAGTTCACCACCCGGACTCCTTCATAAGCTAGTGAAGGTTGTCCTATGATGCTCAATTGTTTACTTTTTGTTTATTTCTTTGATTTTCGTTTGTCCTTTTAGAAGGGACATTCTCGTAGTTCTATTGGGTATTTTAAATTATTGTGTAAGGAATATAAATCCTAACCCTATTATTCCGCTTTCGTATTCAATTTATAATTTATTTCCTTTTAAGCTCCAGATCATTACAAAAAAAAACATAAGTTTCATTATCCATGTTTTATCCAAATAAAATTAAGATAATTTTAATATATACTCGATTTTTTTTTTAAAAAAGTAAGTAAAGTGGACCAATCGTCATATTATAATTGTAGTAAGAGAAATTTTTTATTTTAAAATTATATAGTGTTCATTTCCTTTAGTAAAATTATATTTACTTAGTTTTTAATCACTAGATACTAACTTTAAATTACATTACACTATAATTATATTATATTAAATCTCTTAATTTTTACACATAACGTATCGTATGTTATACAACAAATATGTTCTTAATTTTTACACATAATATACCATATGTTATACAACAAATATGTTGCTTTGTATTCAATACATTTGCTCAAAATATTCCCTTAAATCATATATTTTGGTCATTGATTAATTACTAAAAATAAAACTCAAATTTTTAAAACAAATAATAAGACAATGTTAATCGAGCATTTCCTGCCCGCATGTAAAAATTTTTGTGGTTATAATAAGCTCTCATGTAATAATATATAATATATTTAATGTAAAAATTAATTTTAAATTAGTTTATAGGAAAAAATTAATAAAAATGTACAAGTTAAAATATTGTTTGAATTATCTGGACATTTATAAGCTAATGTAATTAAGATATTATCCAAATATATGTGGTATCTTAATTACATTTATAAGCTAATGTAATTTAGATAATAAGCCAATATTATCTAAATTATCCTTTATATATAAAAAAAACTCTCAATTTTACTGTACATGGTTGTTTTTATCTCTAGCTCCATTGGTAGGAAACATAGACATATTGATTAAAAAACGATAAATCAATCATGGTTAATTACTTTTGTTTTGCTACCATGCATACAGATTATATAATAACAAAGTGTGTTACAAATCAGATAATAAATCATAAATACTAACTTTAGAAATTATGGAAGTCAAAATCATTGTGCTTTAAAATTTTGTTTAGAAGTTGAGTTATTTAATTTTGAAATATTATAAAACTTAAAATATGTTAAAAATATTAAAAAGATAAAGTCAACCAATATATCTCAAAATCTTGTTATAATAAAGTAAAACTAATAAATAAGGTATTTCTTTTTTGTTATGAAATCACTTACGTGGAAAAGCAAAGATGATGTCATAAGTTAAACCGGCGGGTAAGGCGAGAGTCTTTTATTGCACTCACTAGAGATAAGGGATTATCTCCAATCTAGTTGTAAGATCTTGTCCCCTTATTAATAGCCGAAGTGGAAGACAAGAAAATCATACGAAGAAAAAAAGTTCGAAAGCAATTGAATCGTGATAGTAATGGTGGACGAGGAATTGTTTGGTTTGAGCTATGAGAAAAAATCAGAAATTGAGAGAGAAAAAAAAATATATATATATATATATATATACCAAAGAAAAGAGAGAGAGAGAGCTGCAAAGTT